GGTAACAGTGACTTTTGTTCCAGAACAAATTCATTTTAAAGTAAGCTTAAAAAAAAAATAGTCTTTTAATCATAGCGAATGTTCTGGTTTTATCTGACAGTGACACTTGGATGAGGCCAGAAAGAATTCCCACCCAGAATTTTGTTAAGTGGAAAATTCAGACCCTTTTTCCATCCCCCTTCAGAGCAATAAACACATGCCGGAGCCTGGAGCTACCCATGACGTGGGATGCGGGGCCAGAGCAGGGACTGGTCCTCACCTCCCCCTGCATGGCTCTGCCCCATCACTGCCCCACCGGGACATAGCCCCTCGCTCACCGAAAGCTTGGGTGCTGCACAGTGCTGCAGTGTTTCTGTTTGCTCGGGTAAGAACTCTTTGATTGCTCCACTAATACTTGCAATCACAGAGCCAGTGCCTTCCTGTGGTCGTGACATCTGTGGCATGAGTTGCTCCTGGCCTCAGCCAGGCACAGTACAGGTGCAACCCCAGAGACAGGCTGCCTGCTGAGAGTCAAATCATGGCAAAGACGGGGACCAGCCTGGCTCCGAGGGGCCCTGTAGCCAAAGCCCTGACTTGGTGGCTCCCCATGGCCGCCCAGGGGAGGATGAGCTGCATCCAGCAGCTGCAAGGGAGTCACTCCTAACACGGCTCAGCAGTGCTTGGAGTGCAGGGGATAACCACAGCCATTGCCCTCCTGCCCTCCAGCCGGGATGTGACAGCCTGCCCTTGGCAGGGTCACCTGAGGCACAGCACACCTCCCGGGTCTGCATGGCCGGACTAGAGCCGGCACAAGGGAAAGCCCTCAAACACACGCAGGGTGGCTATGGGGGCCTCAGCGCCAACTCTGTTTCAGTTTGTGTAGCAGGACTTGCTCACACCCACATGGGTCTTTCCCACCCCACGCCACCGCGACACACCTGTCCCCAACCTTGGCTGCGTGGGTGACTATAAAAACATGCATCCAAGGGCCCTGTTTTACACCTGCAGCTTGGAGCTGGAAGTAGCAGCCCCTGCTGCCAACCTGGCTGTCCAGACTCCAAGGGCATTGATGGCCTGAATTGCCCTGACAGCCCCACCTGGTCCTTCAGCCTGGGGATACATTTAAGCTAAGCCCTCAACCCCCTTTTTGGGCCTAAGCAGTGTCAGAGTTGTGCCTGGCTCTGGCTCCTTGACGGATTTGGACGTGTGTTGTGAATCCTGTCTCCTGCTGTTTTGGGATTATGCAGCAAGCTAGCACATGCATTTCAGCATGTGAGTGCAGTAACCAAAAGCTGGAAGTCTGCTAGAAACTGTGCCTCCCTGGAGAGCTTGGGTTAGGTTTTTACTGGTTTGTAATGGAAACAGAATGAAAAAAGCACAGCCTAAATTTCAGAGGCTGAGATGCTCAAATGAGGTTTGCCTGGTCTTCAGCTGATTAGAGATCCTCAGTGTACCCAAGGAGGGGTGCCAGACCTGGGGTCTGGGGAGGCTGCCCCTTCGCACCGCCTGGAATTGATGTGCCCATCAGCCCCCCTTGTGCCTCACAGAGGGGGGAAGGCAACAGTGGCAGCGACAGAGGACAGAGGTACTTTACTCCTTCACAGGCTGCTATCGTTTCGCCCTTTTCACAGAGGAGTCGGGTGGGGAGTGGCTCTGCTGTTAGCACGGAGGTGCCTCGCCCCAGTTTGGGGATAGTCCAGAGCCCAATTGCCCTATTTCCCAGCAGCTGGGGTGCAGCCCCCCAGCTCTCCGAGGGACTGCAACCTTGCAAGCTCAGCATGTTTGCTGTGCCTGTTGCCTTCAGGGCTAGAGAGTGTCAGGGCCATTTGCTGGCTAGCAGGGATGTCACCAGGCTGTCCCAAGTGCCAGGTCAGTGCCTGCCAGCTTGGTGGCTGCTTTGAAAGGCTCCTTCGAAGCAGAGGCGCTGTCTGCAGGGTGCTTTGCCAGCTGGCTGGGCACCTCCTGCCACGGAGGGGAGCGGGTGGTGGCGAGAGGTGCTGGTGGTTCTCACAGCCGGGGCTGGGAAGGGCAGCGGGGCCATGGGACCGCATGGGAAACCCCCGCAGCCTCACGCTCGGTTTCCGAGTCATTGGGAACACAGTTATTTTTGCTCATTAATCTTCAGGAATAAAGTCAGCGTCGGAAATCCCAGGGGAGCTCAGATCTGTGGGACCAGGCGGTTTGTGTGAATGCTGTCCAGCAGACACCGAGCACCCTTACGTGCTCTCCTTCCAGCCGCAGCCAGGGCTGCGTGCCCCTGGAAAGCAGACAGCCTTGCCAGGCGTGCCAGGGGCATGGCTCCAGCTCTGCAGACCTCTTGCTGCCTGGAGGGGCCTGGAGCTTTGCCCCATGAGACCCCATGGAGACACTGGGTCTGTCCCCTAAAGACTTCTACCTACTTTACTTCTTTCAGCCCTGGGTGGGCAAATCACCTGGTCCTGTGGCTCTGCCATAGTTCAGTGACCAATACGCTATAATCTCTTCCACAGGCCCAGGCTGGGGGTTTAATGAATGCACAGAGCACGTTGGGGAAATTGAGGTCCAAAATGAGTGATGAAACCTCATGCGAGAGGGTCATAAGGAAGCTATATCAGGCGCTGGGATTGCAGTTGTGTTTTAGCAGAGAATTATCTGAAACACTGAAAAAGAAACCATATACTATTGAGCAGAAACAAGGGTTACACAGAAATAGCTTGTACTTTCCGCAGACCTTTGTCCAGTAAGAAATGTTTGGTTTGTGCATTTCAAGGCTTTAGAGTGCTAAGAAAATATTCCAAATAAGAAACTACACAGACCTTCCTTTTCTTCCCACGACAGCTTAATTTCTTTACGAGCCCTTCTGGGAGAGCTTTTTGGAGATGCAAGTGCACTCCAAGGACCAGATTGTCTCATGTACACAATGGCTGTTTTCCTCCAAGAGCACTCTAGGTTTGTGCCTTGCCCCCTCAAAAGCCATGTGGAATCTCCCATTACACCAGATTTATCCTGGGCTCTGTTATTTCAAGACTTTATTATCCTTTGTAACAACTTGCCTTTTATAGAAGGTAGCCTTGCTGCTTTGCAGTTTCCTGGTTCCCACTGGAACTTTTTAAAAATTAGCATTATATTTAACAACACTGGCTTTTTGGTAGAGGGATCACTGTAATTCTCACCCAGGCGAGTATTTGGCAGTTCATCTGAGCACTCCTTCTGGCAGATTTTTAACCATGTGTTCTAAAAACGGGGGTTAAAAATATTATATTGTTGCCCCCCCTCCCCCCCCAGTGTCTTGGGACAGTCATGCAAATGTGTTCCCTAAGGGAGGAACCTAGTGTGAGCTCCTCCACAGCAAAGGTCAATGCAAGTAACTCACCAAGCTCTTCCATGATGGCTCTTTCCTTCTCATAGAGCCTGATCATGTCCTGTTGCTGGGGCTCTCTGGAGAGTTTTTTGCTTCTCACCTAGTCATTATTAATTTTTATGCCTTTAGGATGCTTTCCTCAAATCTTCTGTGGCCTGCCTTTCACCTGTAAATTTCCACAGCTTGTATTCTTTTTTTACTCTCTCATCTGTATGCAATTTTCACTTCTTTTAAGGTCTTGACACTTCAGGTGTTGGTTTCCACTCCCCCGTATAAGCACAGCACCTTTTTTAAGGCCATCCTACCTCTCATTTCCCTTTTGACATTAAATACTAAAGTTACTGCTTTTTCTCTCACCAGGACCATGCGATCAGTAATTACAGCTCTGTGGCCCCTCATTTGTTACCTTTGAACTAAGCCCCGTGCACGGTTCAGGAGCCACGTGGGTAACACACCGCATGGGGTTACACCATCCCACTGCCTCCACCAAGCTTCTGAGGTCCAGCCTGATGATTAAAACACTTGTGTCAAAGGATGGAGATGGGGGATCCCGGCTCCCTCCACTTGCTGCATCCAAGTCACTGACACAGGAGTCATGCGTGAGGTTCAAGAGGAGAAAACCCTGGAAAGCAGCGTTACCCAGAGCACTGGGACTCTGGCCAGCTGGGGATTCGGAAGTCACGTAAGTCTTGCGTCCCAGCTGCGGAGCCACCAAGTTCCTCGACCCCAAGCATGAGGCCTGAGAAGGGCTGGGGCCGTGGCTGGGACATGGCGCTGCTCCGCATGCCTGCTCTGTGCCTGCAGCAGGGACCCGCTCCCCTTCCAGCACCCGCGCAGTGCGGGGCAGGAGGAAGCCCACCGCAAGGCATGCACGGGGCTGGCCTCACCTCCTGCACACACAGAGCACCTTGGGAACAGGGCTGAGCTCTGGTTCACTTGTGTCCATAAGGAACGCCTGGAGGAGCCAGCAGTGACAGGCAATTTCAAGCATCTGCATGGCGTTTATGCCGCTATGACAGCCTGGATCTGAACAGCAGCGTCCCTGTAGCGTCCCTTGTGCACCCAGCGCAGATCAGCGAGGACAAGGGACACGCTGTGTGTCTGCAGAGACCTACTGCAGGCTGAGCCAGCACCCCAGGCACAGCAGCAACTGCTGCTGAGCTTCCCGGAGCTCCACTATCCGAGCGGCACTGGTGCCACCGTGTGCCCTGCGGCGTGCAGCGGCGGCACAGGCAGCTGCGCGCTCTCTGCTTTCCTGTGTTGGTCTACAGCATGGCCACTTGCCCGTGTGTGTTCTTGAAGTGTCACCAAAAGACACAATCTGTGAACAGATGTGTTTGGGTTGGCAATGTGCAGGAGACAAACACAATTTCAACACAAAGCTGACACAAACAGACCACTCGTAGGACTTTATTTAAGGCCTGAATTCAAGAAATTGCCTGGATTACACCATTTTTACCTGGATTCACGTGCTGGATCCAGGCAGCAGAGCATATTGTTTCTCCTCAGCCAGCACCTGCACTTTTGATCACTTGACAGAATCAGCCGCCACACAAAGAAGCACACCTCTAGCTCCACATTAGCCACCCAAGCGTGCCACTCCTCTCGCACGTGTCCATTCCTCGGCCCAGAAGAGCATCTGAACCATGAATCGAGCTCTTTCCTGTCCATCCCTTCTGCTCTATGTGCCCTGCTGTGGCACTGCCTTTCCCAGCTCATGGATGGCCTTGTTCTCCAGCACCTCCACCTTCCCCTCACCTGGCCGCAGCACGCTGGCCACCATAGCCCTGGCCACCGTTTCCACAGGCACTGAGTAAGCAGTGGGGAAGACCCGAGCCACAACACCCAGAAACTGCTGGGCCATCCACTCCGTGGGCCGGGACTCCTGGCGCTTGCACAACAGCACCCTGCAGAGCAAGGAGGTAAGGTGGGTCAGGCTGAAACCACCTCCCGGGGGAAAGCTAGAGACTGGATTCCCCACCTGTGCCCAGCTTGCTAAACCCACGTGGGGGCCGTGGGGCTTTGGCAATGTCCCGAAACACGACTGAGCTGAGCCCTGGGACGCTAAACTCCTTTCCCCACAGTGCTGCCAAAACCAGGATGCCACTTCTCCCAAGCAGCAATAGCACAGTACAGCTCAAAGGATACAGGTGAGTATCCCCCCTGCATGAGGTCAAGGTCTGTGCAGAAGTACACTTTGACCCATGTCCCCCAACCTCTACTTTCAACCCAAGCCTCTTCTCCTTGCATGGCACATGACACTAGCATTGTGATGGGCTGTGGGAATCTGCCGTGCTTGCTCCCTTGCAGCGCTGGGAAGCAGTGTGCTCGTCCAGGAGCTGCATCTGCAGCTGGTGGCTTTCTTCACTTCCCTCCACAGCCATCTCCTTATGCATCCTTTCTCTCTTTCTTCATTTCCACAACCCGCTGCCCTGCTAACCCTCCACCCAAGTCCTGTGCCCGTCCTCCTTCACTGCTACTCACGCTGGCCGGAGAATGGTACAGCGATCAAAACCAACAGCCTGGACCAGCTTCTCCACTTCTCCCTGTCAGAGCAGTCAGGTAGGATGAAAGGAGACAAGGGTGACTGCAAGCACCATCCCTGACGCCCCGTCAACGGGCAGGAGGGAGCTGCCGAGCCGTGGGCAGGACAGCACTAATGCCAATGCAGAGCTGGTGCAGGCCAGGCACCGCCTGGGCAGTGGGCAGCTCTCCAGGAAAAGGCGTCGTGGGCGAGTGTCCGCAGTGGACACGCTGACCGTTAGTCAGCAGCGCACCCTTGCAACCACCATGCTAACTGCAACTGGACACTCCTGAGGCAGTATCTGGACACCGTGTCCAGCCTGGGGATCCCGGCGCTGCCAGACAGCAGTGAGTCCAGCAGATGTTGGGGGGCTGCAGCACACAACATATAGGGAAAAAAACTTTCACGATGGGTATGATCCCACCTGGGGGAGCCTGTGGGCTCTCCACCCCTGGACAGTTCACCTCTCACCCGGACACAGTGCTGAGCCTCCCTGCCTCGCTGTGAGGCCACCCCAGGCTGGGGAGCTGGGATCGGTCTGGAGACCCCAGCAGGTGGCTCGTTCTGGTGGTTTGAAGGGGGAGATGGATGACACACGTGGGTGCTGTGCTGCTCGGGACGAAGCCAGTGGCATGGCTGTCCTGCCAGCCCCCTTCCCTCACCCCCTTGCCCCCCAACACCAGGAGGACCCTCAGAGCCACTTGCATCTCTTGACACCTCAGCTCCTGCTTCCTTCCCGAGCCCACCCCAGCTGCCCCTCACCTTCACGCGGAGGTAGAGGAAGCGGCTGTCCCGGTTTGCCCCCTGGGAGGACTGCAGGACAAAGTGTTTGCAGCCCCCTGCCCGCGCCAGCTCTGCCGCCTGCGCCACGTAGTCCCGGTCCACACGGACGAAG